CTTGCATATTTTGCTAAGTGTGAGACAGTTTTTATAGCCATTTGATACAATGTGCAATATTGTTTTATGTTATGTGTCTGTGCCTCAGGTAGACATTCTACTACCATAGTCCCCATAGGATATTACTGTGATTCCATCAGTGAGTGATCCTGCCGCTGCAGCATAAGATATCATTATTCGTTCTCTTGTTTAACTTGATTGAAAATCATATCACTGTTTCCCCGAGGCATCTCACACAGAGTGAATTCCCAACACTTTTTATAGTCACAGTGTAAAAGGATAGCATTCTCTTTTGCTATAAAGAGTGTTCAATCAACTAAATTCTACTCTTTGTGAATTAAATTTTGTTTTACCATTGAATTCTTATACATAAAGAATGAAGCAGTGCACATCTTATAGTTAAACTTCTTTAAAATAGAAATTAATTGTATAGTTTTCTTATAAAACTATAGGAAATGTGTAAAATATGAAATGTTATAATGAATAAATTAAAATATAATCCCACCATTAGAGTTTACCATTATTATTTTCATTTATTTTTCAATATTTTTGTCTCTTTACTTAACTTTATGTTTAAAAATTATAATTGTTAGTGTTCATACTGCTTTGATAACCCTTTCCCCCATTTCATTTGAAAATATAATTTTCTTTAAATAGTCTTTGTGGACCTAGTTACCAATGACTGTGTACTTCTTTATATTATGAAGACAACACAGTTTATTTAGGGTTTTCCTTTGTATTTAACATTACCATTTTTCCAGTTTTTAAATAATGTTGGAAGACGTCCTTTTAAAGAAATGGTTACATATATTTGCTATTTCTTTATGGATATATGTGGAATTATTGGATTAGAGAGTATAGAAAAAAATTTAAGCATTAGATAAATATTTCCATATTACCCTCCATAAAGTTTATTTCTTCTAACAACAATATTAAAAGTTTAAAAGTAAAAGATAAAAATTAAAAGAATACCAGATTTCTCAAATTATTGGCAAAATTTTCTATGAATATTGTGTTACATGGACTGTATTTATTTTGCTTACATTTTATCCACAAGTCCTAGTATATAAAACTATATAATAAATCACATTTCTTTTTAAAAATATTTCAAATAAAATACTTTATATATACAGATTGAATTAGTAATCAAAAATCTTCCAATAAGTAAAATCCTTGGACCTGGTGAATTATTTCAAATATTAATTACCATGAGCTAATGAGTATATCAAATTGCTCCAAAATTTTAGTGCCTGAACACATTAAGAATCAATTTCTTGCTCCTGTAGTAGGGCAGTCTTGGTTCTGCTCTATGCAATTATTCTGGGACTGGGTCTCTTCCAGGTCCTTGTGACTCTTTCAATGAAGTCTGAGGCTGGGAAAAGAGCTGCTGATGGCACAGGAGAGGGCTTTAGGGGCCAAACTTGAAGTGGCTTATTACATTATTTCTACTTATTCCTTTCATGCAATAAGAGTCCAGGAAATGTAGCTGCTCAGTTATTTTCCCAAGAGAAAAAGGAAAACGTTTGAACCATTAGACATTGTATGCTATACATAGTTTGCTAATTCCTATACAATTGCATGTACATGCACACATACATATTCATACATCCATATGTTCATGTCCTTTTAAAATCTGTTCATGCTATAAAAATGGGATTATATTTATACATATTTTTCTATCTCATTTTATCTTGCTCAACTATGTCTTATAATAAATCTCTTTTAACTCATTTAATATAGTTCTAATACTTTTTTTTATAAAGGCTATATAATATTCCATGATGTGTTGTGTCAAAATTAATTCAGCATTTTCTCTATTGATAAAAAAATTACTTAAAAATGCCTTTATTGGAAACCATAAAAATTCTAGAAGAATCCAAAGGCAACAAAATCTCAGACATATGCCGAAGCAATTTCTTTACTGATACAGCTCCTAGGGCACTTGAAACGAAAGAGAAAATGAACAAATGGGACTACATCAAAATAAAAAGCTTCTGCACAGCAAAAGAAACCATCAAAAAAACAACAAGAAAACCCACTGTGTGGGAAAACATATTTGCCAATGTCATATCTGATAAGGGCCTAATCTCCAAAATTTATAGGGAACTCATACAACTTAACAAAAGGAAGATAAACAATCCAATCAAAAAATGGGCAAAGGACCTAAATAGACACCTTTCAAAAGAGGACATTCAGAAAGCCAAGAGACATATGAAAACATGCTCAAAGTCACTAATCATCCGAGAGATGCAAATCAAAACAACAATGAGGTACCATCTCACACCTGTCAGACTGGCTATCATCAACAAATCAACAAACGACAAGTGCTGGAGAGGATGTGGAGAAAAAGGAACACTTGTGCACTGCTGGTGGGAATGCAGACTGGTGCAGCCACTATGGAAGACACTATGGAGTTTCCTTAAAAAACTGAAAATGGAACTCCCATTTGACCCTGTGATCCCACTTCTAGGAATATATCCCAAGAAACCAGAAACACCAATCAGAAAGGATATATGCACCCCCATGTTCATAGCAGCACAATTCACCATAGCTAAGATCTGGAAACAGCCTAAGTGCCCATCAGTAGATGAATGGATTAGAAAACTGTGGTACATCTACACGATGGAATACTATGCTGCTCTAAAAAGGAAGGAACTCTTACCATTTGCTACGTCATGGATGGAACTGGAGAGCATTATGCTAAGTGAAATAAGCCAGTCAATGAAGGAAAAATACCACATGATCTCACTCATTCATGGATAATAGAGACCATTATAAACTTTTGAACAATAATAGATACAGAGGCAGAGCTGCCTCAAACAGATTGTCAAACTGTAGCAGGAAGGCTGGGGAGGGTTGGGGGGCAGGAGGTAGGGGGGTAAGAGATCAACTAAAGGACTTGTATGCATGCATATAAGCATAACCAGTGGACATAAGACATTGGGGGATAGGGGAGGCTAGGGGACTGTCTAGGGCGGGGGGATAAAATGGACACATATGTAATACCCTTTGTAATACTTTAAGCAAAAAAAAAAAAAAAAATGCCTGTATTGATATTTCTGTGGAATTTAGAATGTAACAGAGGTATATGCTTATTTCTACATTTTTAAATTTTAATTCTACTAATCAGACTTGTTGTGAATGAGTGTGAAATGCAAGTTTATTTCCACAGAATAAAGCTATAATAATTAATACTTTGGGAACTAATGAAACCTATTTTGTAGTAACAACAGCAATTGGTTTCTAGAATCATAAATTGGCTGGACTTGCTTATCACATATTCTAGATGTTTGATGAGCAAACAGAAATATTTTAGTGAATTAATGTTTTGACAAATTAACTTTACTTCATAATTATCTTACAAAGCTAAAATTACATTAGCAAAATTTATAGTATAACTATTTTATTTAATTATAACATTAACCATTAAGGTTTTTTAGGAACACAAATAATTACTATATTTCAAATGGCATTGTGCAATTTCCTATAAATTCTGTTGACATAAGCAATGTAGGAATTCAAAGAAAATTATAAATTACTAATTAATTAATTAATTGAACAGATATTAATAAGTGCCTGCTAAGTGTGAGGCACAGCTAGGAGCTGAGGATATAACAAAGAACAAAAAGGACAACATGCGGACCAATTACTCAGTGGAATGTTATGTAGTTAGTGAAATTGAGAGAAAATTAGAAGCAAAATAACCAGTGTGTTTTTCTATAACGTTGGATATTGAAAAAAAGAGAGAGAGAGAGAGAGAGAGAGAGAGAGAGAGAGAGAACCCCCCTTTGCAAATGCCTGCCAGTTACCAAATGTTGGGTTATATTAGGTAGGTGCCATGCGCTTTTCAAAGGCAATTCTGCTCAGAGCTCAGCCATGTAGACAGGTTGGTTGTTTTTTTGGTGATCTCACTAGACATAGAAGAGACTCTGTTTCCTTAGTCTATTCTGAATATTCTTCATTTCGGCCTTATTTTAAAATAATCAGTTACAAAATGAGCTCTTTGACAAGTGCCTGAGATAATGAGAGTCCATACTGTAGATCAAAGAGTTCTCCATGTGCTTTCAGACCTGAGTGATGACCAAGTAACAAATATGGCATCCTGTTGTAAATATAATTAATTTTCAGAAGGTAAAAGAAAAATAAGTATTTTGTGAAAGTTTGTCTAGAGGTCTAAAGCTGTATTCAGGGACAATGGTGACTAGTTCATAGTCTTAAATGTCCCTATTATTTAAAAAAAGAAAAATTATATTACAGTTCAATTTGGCAAGACAAATATAAAACAGACCTAAGGGAAATAAGAGGAAGGAAAGGGTAAGAATAAAATCAGCAAATGAGATAATTAAAAGAGACAAAAGAAAATAATAGAGCTGATGAATAAATCTAAGTACGTATTTCTTAAAAGGAAAAAAATTACACACAAGTTTGACAGTCCTCTGGCAAATGTAATTAGGAATAAAATAACACAAACATAGAAAAACAAAAAAAACCAATTAGATGGAAATTTTTAAAAACATAGAGTGTTTTATACCACATTTTACCAATATATATATTTTAAATCAAAGTAATAATAGCAAACCTGGGAAATTATAATTACAAAACCGAATAGATGCAGCATTATTGGAGAGATTCTATTTTAAGTTCATGCTTTGACATCAGACTCTGCTTTTGAGTTTTTTAAAATTTGTGAGGAGGCTATCTGGGTGTGAGCTGGCTCTGCCAAGTACTCATATCCCCATTTGATCTTGGCCAACCTGCTTATCCTTGTTGAGTGAATAAATGAACCAGTAAATGAATGCTCTTGTACTTTAGTGAGTCAAAAAAGCCCTCTCAGAGGTTCTCATAGGCTTACGTTAGGTAATACATGTGATGTTCTTAGCAGAGAGGCTAAATTGTGAGCATTCAAATAACAGTAGGTGTTATGATTATCAAATGTCTTATAGTATAAGGGAATCAAAATATCAATGAGTAATCTTTAGATATTTATATGTATTTTTCAGGTTATCCTGATCCAGAAAATTTTTCCTGGACAGAATATCTGGAAGCTACTCAAACTAGTGCACTTCCTGCCAAAGTATTTAAAATGGTAAGTTTGTATCCATATACATTCTCAACTTTAAATAATGTCCATGTTGAGTCATGCCTTTATTTGGCAGTTTTAAGTTATTCTAGTATATCCTTTTTTAAACTCAAGTGTTATTTTCATGACCAATCTGCCTTGCTTTTATTTAAAGATGCAAGGGAGGCGACTCATTTACTGTTGTTCCTGTGCATAAATATAGGTGATAATTCCCCAGCTTGAAAAACACAGGAATCCTACACTAGTGATATTGAAAGCTCCTCATCAACCTCTGATGAGCCAAGTCCTTCATTTCCGGTTCTATAAGTCCACAACTTTCATGTCTTGGAGTTGTTTCAATGTCAATGGTGCCTTAGTAAAATAGGAATTGTTTGTAGCCTGAGCATTACAGTTTTATCCATTTTGAGGGAAATAGTGCTTTTAGCATTGGTTAGAATACCAATTATTTAAAGGTCAAATTTGAATTTATTTCAGGATTGACCAAAGTATAAATTACTTTGTAAAAGATAGTGCTTTGATGGTATAGTTAGAAATATTTATGTTCTACACCAGTAGTTTTCAAATGTTGTTCTCTTTCAACCCTAATGGTTTGCTCCAGGCTCCCCAACTCGTCTTTAATCAGAATTTTATATAGTGAGTTTCTACATGTGATTCCATTTACTGAAAGTTTTCTAGGAATCAAAAAGGGTTTAAAACAAAATGTTGTTTCATATATATATATATATACACACACACATATATATATACACACACACACATACATACACACACAGACACACACACATACATATACACACACACATATATATTGATTTTAGAGAGGAAGGTAAAGAGAGAGTAAGATAGAAACATGGGGATTGAGCCTGCAACCCGAGCATGTGCCCTTGACTGGAATTGAACCCGGGACCCTTCAGCTCGCAGGCTGACGCTCTATCTACTGAGCCAAACTGGCTAAGGTTGTTTTATTTTGTTTTAAATTTTCTTAAAATAGGCAAAATTTGGCGGAAAGAGGTATGATTAAATTAAGAAGGCTAGAAGTTCTGAACTGTTAGAGAGGATTTTAAGAATTCTAAAAATATGCTTAACAAAAATACGAGTTGCTTTTAGTCTTCCTCTCTCTTGCTTTCTGTCAAAAATTCATTTTAGTTTTCCAAAAGGAAAATTACAAGAAAATAAAATTATGAAAAAAATTAGCTAAGAAGGCAACTTGGGTTATTATGGATTCACCTCAAGCTTTAACATCTGCAGCACAAACAATCCCTGGGTTGTCAGGCCAGTGACCTTGGGGGAAACAGAACGATTTTCAGGGATCAGAGACTTACTCATAGTCAATATACTCTGTTTACTAGATTTAATAATGCATTTTAGAAAGAAAATATGCTTCCACAAAAGCTGGAGAGAAACAAACCAGATCTTCTGAAAGAATTAACAGTTTATTACTCACAAATTATGAGGATTTTATTTCCTATCGCCATTTCTAGGCTTAAGAAGTTCAGTGCACTTTCATTTTCAATGAAGTCAATCGAACACTTTTATGTGTAGTAGCTTTCAAGTGAAACTTTTTGCCAACCTATAAGTACTGTCAGAGTTGTCTTTTGACTTTGATTTTGTTAAATTTCCTCATTTTTAGTGTATGTCCTGGTATATTTTTCTGACTCCATTTTCTTTATTATTGCCTGAGTGTTCATCATTATAGACTCCTGATTCCTGGCATTTTGTCTTGGGAGAAACTTAAATTAATACAGTTTAACATGCTTATGTTACAGATAAGGTAAAAAAAAAAGTATAGGTTATATCTTTAAATTACATTGTGGCATGATTTTATAATAGTTCACCAGTTTGAAATTATGAAGCTTTTATCTAAATATTATTTCAAACTTTAGATTTATAAAAGATTATGGCTATCTTTTCTAATTATTTATTAAATAATTTTGCCTTCTGGGTCATACACTCAAAAAGTGGGCAGTGAGAATAGTCAACAATTGCTTAATTTACAAGGTTAATTTCAGAAGGAAAAAATAAGTAAACCAATAGATAAACTGTAAAAAGATCCTTTTAGAACAGTGGTTCTCAACCTGTGGGTCGCTATCCCTTTGGCAGTGGAACAACCCTTTCACAGGGGTCGCATAAGCCCATCCTGCGTATCAGATATTTACATTACGATTCATAACAGTAGCAACATTACAGTTATGAAGTAGCAACGAAAATAATTTTATGGTTGGGTCACAACATGAGGAACTGTATTTAAAGGGCCAGAAGGTTGAGAACCACTGTTTTACAACCTTGATGTGATCATTAATGAATTATTTGTCTTTTTAGCTGTCTTGAAAATGACCAAAAATCATTTCTCTTCTCACAGGTTTTTATGAAACTGGATAAAATAACATGCATAAAGTCCTATGTTCTCTTAAAAGTAATTCCATCGTACTAAAGATCTGAATATAAAACTAGAACAATAATATTTTAGGAAAAATTTAATAGCTTAACTAAATAGTTGAAATTTGCATGACTTATTGCACTTGTAATGTTACAGCGATCGCCTCATGGTTTTCTGCCAAATATGAAACTTGAAGTTGTGGATAAACGAAACCCCAGGTTAATTCGAGTTGCTACGATTATAGCTGTTGATGACCAAAGACTAAAGGTACACATTTTAGATTATTACATTACTAGAGGCCCGGTGCACAAAAATTTGTGCACTCGGTGGGGAGGGGGGGGGGTCCCTCAGCCCAGCCTGTGCCCTCTCGCAGTCTGGGACCCCTCGGGAGATAATGACCTGCTGGCTTAGGCCTGCTACCGGGTGGCAGAGGGCAGGCCTAATCCTTAGGTGTAGCCCCTGGTCGGGCTCAGAGCAGGGCCGATTGGGGAATTGGGGCGCCGCCCCCCTGTCATGCACAGAGCAGGGCGGATTGGGAGGTTGCGATGCCACCCTCAGTCATGCTCAGGGTAGGGCCATTGGGGGGTTGGGGCACCGTCCCCTGTCACACTCAAGGCAGGGTCGATGGGGAGGTTGCGGCACCACCCCCTGTCATGCACAGAGCAGGGCCAATCGGGGTTGGGGAGCTCCCCCCTGTCACGCACAGAGAAGGGTCAATCAGGGGGTTGGGGAGCTCCCCCCTGTCACACACAGAGCAGGGCCCATCAGGGGGTTGGGGAGCTCCCCCCTGTCACACACAGAGCAGGGCCCATCAGGGAGTTGGGGAGCTCCCCCCTGTCACCTACAGAGCAGGGCGGATCAGGGGGTTGGGGCACCACCCTCTATCACCCACAGAGCAGGGCCGATCAGGGGGTTGGGGCGCCGCCACTGTCACACTCAGGGCAGAGCCGATGGGGAGGTTATGGCTCTACCCCGTCACACACAGAGCAGGGCCCATGGGGTGGGGGGGTTGGGGTGCCACACCCTGTCACACCCAGAGCCGCAGGGCGATCAGGAGGTTGGGGCGCCTTCCCCTGTCAGGAACAGAGCAGGGCCGATAGGGAGGTTGTGGCCCCGCCCCCTGTCACACACAGAGCCGCAGGGCAATCAGGGGGTTTGGGCGCTGCCCCCTGTCACCCTGATCCCGGTGCTGGGAGGCATATTACCCTTTTACTATATAGAATAGAGGCCTGGTGCACCGGTGGGGACTGGCTGGTTTGCCCTGAAGGGTGTCCCGGATCAGGGTGGGGTCCCCACTGGGGTGCCTGGCCAGTCTGGATGAGGGGATGATGGCTGTTTGCAGCTGGTCACACACCCTTCAGGGTGGGGGTCTCCACTGGGGTGCCTGGCCAGTCTGGGTGAGGGGCTGAGGGCTGTTTTCAGGCTGGGACTGAAGCTCCCAACTGCTCCTTTTTTTCTTTTCTTTTTTTTTATTCTGAGCCAGCTTTAGCTCTGAGGCTCCAGCTCTTAGGCCTCCGCTCCTGAAAGCAGGTATCTGGTTTGTTTAGGTTCTACAATCGAAACTCTGTATCAACTCCAGGTCTGAGATCCCGGCTAGCTGAAAGCTGGTTTCTGGGGTTTTGTTTAGCTTCTATTTTTGTAACTATGTTTCAAACTGCCAGCTGAGAGGCCTGCAGTGGCAGGCGGGGAACGTTGGAGTCCTCCCTCACTGAAGCAAGCAAGCCTCATGTTAGTTTCAAGCTGCCTGGCTGCCGGCCGCCATCTTGGCTGGCAGTTAATTTGCATATCGCCCTGATTAGCCTATGGGAAGGGTAGCGGTCGTATGCCAATTACCATGTTTCTCTTTTATTAGATAGGATTACACTGGCATTTCCTCTCATGTGTTCTGACATGCAGGCTACAGAGGCTCTGATTTCTTAGCACAATAGAAGAATAAAACTTTGGCTGACTTCATTTTTAGTCAAATGGCTTTGGGTAGAGAGATTTCCAGCTGAGGTGTCCTGTGATATGGTAAATCCCTACATCAGACATGACTGACTTTGAGAGGGATTCTAATGCATTCCTATTTGGATTTATGTTTAGACTTGCTGAGTTTTCTTTCTTTTTTACGTTTCATAAAATGTGAAATGAGTTGCTTCCACATACCATTCGGTCTGTCAGAATATATCAACCTTGAATGGACATAAATGCCTTAGGGTTTGTGGAATACAAGCAGCTTCTGGCCTCTCGCAGCTCATCTCTAGGAGACCCTGCCTTAAAGTCTTCACGCTCTACCCATCCATAGTCAGTCCTGCAGTTGGGTAAATGGTTGTCCTGCTCCACAAGGAAGAGGAGAAATGATTGTCTGTGGGACAGCAATTTTCTGAATAGAACAAACTGCAGAGAAGATTTAGCAGTATGGCTTAAACTTCCAAACATCAGTTTTCCCAAAAAGAAAAAGGCAATGAAAATGAGCATCAGGTTTTTTCCGTGAATTCTTGTTTAAGGAGGGTTAAGGTAGTAGATGGGGCTATTGGGAAAGCAACTAATGCCTTTCTTGTCTCCTCTTTGCCTGTATATATTCCTCTATTACTTTATTAGTATATTGGTCATATTTCATAGTTTTCTCTTTTAAAGTTTTAAGTACCTTTCAAATACTATTTTTATCACTGGCACATAATAGATGCTTGATATACTTGTGAATTAGTAAATAAGTGAATGAAGGAGTAAATGACATTGCATGTATTTTGGTATCCTGCTATTTGATTGCATGAATTGATCATGTTAGTAAAAAAAGTACCCTTCCCTCATTTTTAATTTCTTAATTATTCTTCCATTGGAAATCTAATTCAACATAGTGTAATGGCAAGTGCCATTGGATAAACTGATCTGGTTTTTAACTCCAGGTCTCACTCTTCCTTAACTGTGATATTAACTTGGTGGTTACTCAGCTTATCTGAATATTCCTTATGTATAAATTGATGAGGTTAATAATGCCTACCTCATAAGCTTGTTGATAAAATTCAGTGAAGTGATGCATGTAAAATACCTGAAACTGTGCCTGACTCTTTAGAGGTACTTCGCTGTACCTAGCATAGCAGATCCAGTAAAGACTGACTTAATTCCTTTCTGCGATTCCCCAAATATGTAGTTGCCCTTATATGTTTGATTAATTCTATTTCATCACAGCTTTTTTTTGGAATAACTTCTATTTTTAGGGCAAATGCCCTATGCTACTCTCCCTGGGTGCCTTTATTTTCTGTGTTCCTGAAGGAGTCTCATGTAGCTACATGTCATCAGTAGATGGTGAAGGAGAAAAACACACAGTAATTTGTGAACAAGCCATAGGTTTGGAATTTCCTTGGGGAATGCTAATCTGAGCATGTGATTATGCAGCATGGCGGTGTTTGTTGAGAGTAGAGTCAGTCTGTCCAACAATATTGTGTGACATAGGTACTATTATTATACCCATTTTGTAGATGAGGACAGTGAAGCCCAGAGAAGTTAGGTAATTAGTCCAAGGTCATAAGCTAGTGTATGGGAGAACAACATTTTAAACCCTAGCTTTCAAACAGAGGTTTTCAATTCTAGAGCTTATAGTCTTCTTGTTCCTTCTGCTCTTATGTTATAATTTTTATTGTAAATATCTCACTTCAGAGTGAGACAGCAGGTGTCTAGGATGGGGAGTAGAGTTCATTCATAACTGCACCTACTTTGTCTTTTGTGCTGAACTGCATTGCTGATCCTGCCTGGAGGTTCGTGTGTGGTACTGACACTTCCTGGCAGAGTTTAGCAGATCCAGTAAAGATGGCCTTAATTCCTTTCTGCCATTCTCCAAATATGTAGTTGCCCTTATATGCTTGATTAATTGTTTTTATAACAGCTTATTTGGAATAGTTTGGAATAGAAGGATGGGCGTTAGTTCTTTGAATGTTTAATAAAATTCACCTGTAAAGCCATCTAGTTCAGGGCTTTTATTTGTTTTGAGTTTTTTTATTACTGCCTCAGTTTCTTAGTTGTAATCTGTCTGTCTAGATTCTCTGATTCTTCCTGGTTTCGTTTTGGAAGCTAAGATTTTAGGTTGTTGTGTTCTCATTTTCATTTGTTTTCAAGAAGCTTTTGATTTCTTCCTTTATCTCATTGTTAACTCATTCATTGTTTAGTAACATGTTATTTATCCTCCATATCTTTGTGTGGTTTTCTGTTTTTCATAGCATTATGGTCAGAGAAGTTGCTTGAAATGATTTTAACCTTCTAAAATGTATTGACACCTGTTTTGTGTCCTAACATGTGGTCTATTCTAGAAAACATCCCATGGCCACTTAGAAAGAATGTATATTCTGCTGCTTTGGGGTGAAATGATGTGAAGATATCAAAAATCCATTTGATCTAGTATGTTATTTAAGGCTGCTGTCTCTTTGTTTATTTGCTGTCTATCTGGAAGATCTATCCATTGAAGACAATGGGGTGTTAAAATCCCTTACCATAACTGTATTACTGTAAATCTCTCTTTTTATGTCCATTAATATTTGCTTTACATATTTAGGTGATTCTATGTTGGGTGCATAAATGTTTACAAGTGTTATATCCTCTTGTTGGATTGTTCCCTTTATTATTGTTTAGTGTCCTTCGTTATCTCTTACTATAGCCTTTGTTTTGAAGTCTGTTTTGTCAGATATAAGTATTGCTACCCCAACTTTTGTTTTTGCTTTCCACTTGCATAAAATACCTTTTTCCATCCTTTTACTTTTAGAATGTATCTTGAAGACAGTGTATACATGGGTGTTGTGTTCTTATCTAGTCAGTTACCTTATTTCTTTTGATTGGAGCATTTAGCCATTTACTTTTAAAGTTATTACTAATAGGTATGTATTTATTGCCATTTTAGTTTCTTTTTAATAAATCTTTATTGTTCAGATTATTACAGATGTTCCTCTTTTTCCCCTCCATAGCTCCCCTCCACCCGATTCCCACCCCACCCCATGCCCTTACCCCCCGCCACTGTCCTCATCCATAGGTGTAAGATTTTTGTCCAATCTCTTCCCACACCCCTCCCACCCCCTTCCCCCTGAGAATTGTCAGTCCACTCTCTTTCTATGCCTTTGCTTCTATTATATTCAACAGTTTATTCTGTTCATTAGATTTTTTATTGACTTAATTTTTAGATTCACTTGTTGATAGATATGTATTTGTTGTCACTTTGTTGTTCATAATTTTTATCTTTACCTTTTTCTTCTGCTCCCTCTTCTTAAAGAATATCCTTCAGCATTTCATATAATTCTGGTTTG